GGGGACCAACACACACTTCGACCATTGCGCCATTGCAACCAATGTTAGCTAGCAAATGCAGAAAAAAAGGTAACTGGTGCAAGATATATGGGCTCCTGTAACTGGTTCTGAGCCTAAGGAAAGAGAGGTTGGTGCGTAACTGTCATGCGGGAGGGAAAAGAGGCATCTCCGAATGCCAGAACAAAACATGGATCAAGAAGAAAACTGACAGCTCCCAGGCATCGAATTAAATCGATTTTACCGATAAAGCTAAACACATACTTCTTTTGAAAGAAGGAAACTGACTCAATAAATATCCAGGAAAATATTTGCACAGAAACAATTTATACGTAAACTGCCAAAACTCCTATACAAAAATAGTGCTCACCTCTTTAGTGGTCCACGTCTCTCCTGGCTCAGGTCAATGGGTCCTTTCTCCTGGCAATAGAGGACAAATACGTATCGGTGGAAGCCTGTGCCCTGGTAGGGCAGCGGCGGTGAATACTCCACAACTAAGTCACCCGACTTGGGAGCGCCGTCAACCAGTTCCGGACAGATGTTGCATCTAAAGGGAGAACAGAAAGGCGACAAATTAGAACATCAAACCAAAAATCAGTGGATGGAAGAAAGGAGGATAAGATGATTCCCATAGAAACTAGAAGTTTCGTCTATGCGGTCTAGACTCTAGAAATATAACCACCTGTCAAAGAGAGATGAGGGAGGCAGAAGGCGAGTATGGTAGGCAGAAGGACAAAGGATACTGGAATGGCCATTTCTGGCTTATTAAACATCATTAGTCGGCCATAACAAACTCCGGCTGTTGCGACACCTGAGGGTCGAACCTGCGATCTGGCCACGGCGCCACAGGCTCGTCGTTCTGTCGGTTTCGAACGGAAGTATTGGTAATGTTTCATGAGCAGTTACTAGGACTCACTCGGCCCATGGGGCCCTGGGGCTCACTTTCGAGCTCCGGAGAATAGCGATGAGGAAAACGCTTTAAAACCGAACGAAGGCATACTGCGTCCATTATTTTTTATGCCGGTTGTGTGGGCAGTCGCTTCTAGGGTTAGTCAAATACTACCTCAGAAGCGTAATTAATCATCTGCTACAACCGCCAGTACGCCAGACCTGATGACCCTTGACAGTTGATTGGTGTACACACACTATAACTAGCCCCTACTTTGTTGCTGTTTCTTATCTCTGACGATGGACTCCTTTAAGACTTCGAAAGCTCACGATAGTAAACAAAGTGATCCGGTGCTCGACCATCTTTC